CTGTTATCCTGGGAACCACGGAATCCAGGAAGGTGAGATTTTATGGGTATGTTCCTTGCTCACGCGTAACCTAAAAAGTTTAAATTCAGTCTTTCCGTGCTCGCAGGTAACATATGCGGCCCGTGAAACTTTTGGAGGGTAAATTATTATCTCGGAGATCATAAAAGCCAGGAGCTAAATTTTATGGCAATGTCTTCTGTCCACATACAACCCTGCAATTTTAAATTCAGCTTCCCGCGCGTCCGAGTATTACTTACGGCCTCATGAAAGTTCCGGTGGGGCAATGAAAATCATGAGCAGGCAATTTTTCGGTGAACGGAATTGCACAAAACGCATGACCGCACCGGCTGCTCTGGTGTGTGCCGCTATTTATTAGGTAGTGGAACGGTTTTTCCGCTTCTTACAATGGTTGCTGATTTCATGGCGAAGAATATTTCGTCACGAAAGCTTGAGCTCAGCAAAGAGAAATCACATTTTCTGAGTTCCGGTTTAGATGAGTTGGACGGTAATGCTAGACTCTGTGGAAGCTCTTCCGGTTTTCGTATTGATGGCGAAATCTCACTTGAAGAAGATTTGTCCCGTGGCGTAAACTAAGTAATTAAATATTTCTGCGTGTTAGCACCGGTTTTAAATGAAATTTTTTGATCGCAGTCTGTGGGACGGGTTGTTTTCCAGTCCTTTCCTTGCCTCTGTCTAATTCAGTGATTGTAAGCTTTGCGATTAAGCTTTGCCAAAAAGCGACTGTTTCATTCTTGGCTTTCGTTCGCCCTTTCCATTTCCCTTCAAATCTTTGCTTCGTTGCTTCGAGCGTTTCGAATCTTATTATCGAGGTTGAGTGTACTTGACTGATTTTGCTGGATAAGTATTTTTAGCAACTCAATTGTAATTTTCATTATTGTTTTTACGGCTGCGGCCAGAGTGGTTGCTTCAGCTTGTCACTATGTCTCTTCATTTAGTTCTTAAAGGCTTTTTTGAGGTGACTAAGCACGCGTCGTGCATTGATCATTCCTCTCGTTTTAATGAAAATTGTAGAGGTTTCTGAAGCAAACTTCCAGGACGTGTTCATTTCCTCTTTTTTTGTCAAAACCTAAGTCCATTTTTGCTCTGCCTTTTTTCAGAACCAGAACTTGCTGATACGCAGTTTGCTAGAAAAGGCGCAAGATTCAAGGACTAATTCCTTTTTATGCGTTTTGTGCTGCAATAGTTGCACAAAACGCATATTGACAAGACCCTCTCCGTGGTTGTGTGTGTGTGTGT